AAATACTGCATTCATAATTGTTATGTTGATTAAATGTTGAAATGACAATGTTTTGGATATCCTGAGAATTAAGTAACATATAATGCTAAAATTAATTTCATCTTTCTCTTTTTATAATGTGGTTGCTAGAGAAATTTAAATTACATACGTGACTCATATTATATTTCTACTGGACATTCTAAAGCCCCAAGATTTGGCCTTTGACCTTGTTAATGCTAACTCTTATCCAACTTCAGCTATCTGCTTGTGTCCCATCTTCAGGGACCCCTGGCCTAGGATTTCTATGTTGACATAAGAAACATCCAAACCTACAGAGAATTTTTATAAGATTTTATTTGACGACAACATATGCTGGATCACAAGATTTCAAATGCTCCTGACAATAACAATTTGCAGTTTCTTTTATGTAGTTGAGATTAAGGAGGGAACGTAAGGAAGATTACTTAGGTGGGAGAAGTCTAAGTGGGGATCAAATTATAGAATAGTTAGAATTAGGTGTTGTCTTGAGGGTGGTCACATATTAGAAGGAGGGCTCTGGCCCTAGCTGGTTTGGCTTAGTGGATAGAGCGTCGGTCTGAGGCCAAAGGGTCCCAGGTTTGATTCTGGTCAAGGGCATGTACCTTGGTTGTAGTCTCCTCCCTGGCCTGGGCCCTGGTCAGGGCTCATGTAGGAGGCAACCAATCAGTGTGTTTCTCTCACATCGATGTTTCTCTCTGTCTTTCCCTCTTTCCCTCTCTCTTCCACTCTCCCTAAAAAAAAGGAGAGCTCTGGAAGAGGATATTTCAAGGGTGTGTTATCCTAGATGCACAGAATCAGTGGACAGTGCTTGCTTAAGGCAAAGATAATAAACTTGACTAAAGAAGCTATATGCCTGGGGCGTGACTGTTTACCATCACCTGCCCTGTTAGGAATTCATGATCAGATCACCCTGTGAGATTACATTCCATAGAACTCCTTCTTTGTCCACGCCTATAAGCATATTCCTTTCTTTTATAGTAGGGACCCAGTGCACAAATTCGTGCACCTTGAAAGGAACTGTGGGCCAAAAGGCTGCGGTGGGCACAGGGGCAGGTCTCGGTGCCCCTGCCCGGCCCCTCCCGCCATGGCCCCTGGTTCCCTGTCTGCCAACATCCCTGCTCCCACCGCCGCTGCTCCCATGGGCTGATGGCGGCGGCCCCACTCCCACCCAGTGTGGAGCGATTGGGGCCAGTGCCAGCAGCAGGTGCGAGCAACAGTTGCTGCCCCAGTTGCCCCTCAGGAGTAGGGGGAGGTGGAGAAGCCCTCAGGGGCGATCGGGGCCAGCAGCCACTGTTCACACCTGCTGATGGCACCGAGCAATCGGGACCGGCGCTGGGCACCAGCAAGGGGTGCAAGCGGCAGCTCTGGCACCAGCAGCAGGTGCAAGCGGGTCTGGTGCTGGCAGCAGGTGAGAGCGTCGGGCAGGACCACAGCTTGTGGGAGCAAAGAATTTTCAGGAACCACCAGAGGCTTGCCCTGATGACAGTGACTGGTACCCCGCCTTGACCTGGTGCCCCTGCTCACCTGCTCCACCATCCCACTGCAGCCGATGCCCACCATGTTCCGCACGCGTCCCCTGGTGGTCAGTGCATGTCATAGCGACCAGTTGTTCGGTTGTTCTGCCATTCGGTCTATTTGCATATTAGGGTTTTATATGTATAGAAAATTTACCTGGGTCTTTAATTAGGCATTATTTGTTGGGCTGTTTGATTAATGTTCATCTCCCAGTCAGAGTTAAGCACCCATGAAAGCAGCAACTGGGCTTTTTTTTGTTCATTATTCTCCCGGAACCTGGCCTAGAGCCTAGCACATAGAAAGAGCTCATTAAATATGTGTTGAATGATTACATAAATGAAGTGTGTTACGAATCTCCAAGAAGAGGACAAAGTAGTCAACTTTTGCTAAATTGATTTGACCAAAGAACTTTTGTCCCACAAAGGGCTTAGTGAAGAATTATAATCTCTGGGAACACAGTTTGGGAAGCACTGGCTTAGGGGCCATAACTACAGATGAAGTGTATTGAACCTCAGTTTAAATCTTCATTTGCAGTATGACCTCAGCTCTCCTATATGCTGAAGGTATAGGTAGGCTTGTTGCGGGGCGGAGTTTGATGTTGTTGTTCTTTGGCTTGTTTCCCTTCCTCTGAAAATCACAAACTTTATTCCTTAAACTCTTCCATTTAGTAAACATCTAAAAGAAGCTGAATAATTCTCCTTTAATAAAGAGGTTTTCATGAAAATTTATGCATGCAGTTAATGCATGATAGTAATTTTTCTCCTGCATCTGTACAGGCACGAAGCAGGTGAAATAGTGGGTTTAACAAGGGATTGGGGTAGTTGAAAGGAATTTACCTGAGAGACCAGCCAGGCCTGGCACATTTCTTTTGGGAGAGATAGTGCATGGTTATCAATTGACCCAGAGCATGAGACCCAGGGAAAGGCTGTCAAGTCCCACTCACACCACCCCCCACCCCGAAAAAAATAAGTGGCTCAGCTGAAATATCCTTTTAATTCACTTTGTTAATAATCTTCTCCAACTAGCCCTACACACAAAAGCTAAGTGATTACTGTATGACAGCCTAGAACTTCAGGATTCTGAGCAGGGCTGGAGCTCAGCACCTCCCAGGGAGAGGGGGTCAGGAGGGCAGCCAACTCTGTG